ATATATGTAAAAGTTCTGTACACTTAAGGTATATATATCACGTGTTATCAAAGGTATTACGTATCAAACCTATTATAAATTACTTTTCTTAGGTAAACTATAGATTGAACATCCCTAATTTAAAATCCAAAATCTTAAGCAATTCAACGTATGAAACTTTGGAGTACTGACATGCACGTGTGAGTAGATTCTCTACCTGACTGTGTGGGGTGAGTTGCGGTCAGAAGCAAGCACAGTAAAATAGCATGTGTGTGACCTTTCAGGTATTTGTGAAATGAACCAATCTAAACCCAAAGCACTTCTGGACCTAAACAGCTTGATTAGAACTAACTTACCCTGTGCTACGTATTACACATTTCAGGTCAGTTAGCTGAGTGAAGGCAGAGACCAGACAGTGTGGGCCCAACCCCCTTCCTTCCCCGTGCCATTGTTCAAATACCCTGAAATAGACCTCTTTGAGCTTCTATTTGGAGTGACTGCTAATCGGTGGCTCATCTGAACAATCTTAATCACAGACCTAATGATTGTGTGAATTTTTATAGTGGTTTCCACCTGCAGAGGCTCTGAGCTAGGCACTTTGTATGCACCTCTGCCTCAGCTGTCCAGGATGGATGCAGTTCTTACTATTCCGTTGACAAATGAGCAGACTGAGGTATAACCTTCTGAAGTCAAGGGTTAGTTCCAGGGTCAGGGCAGATGTTTCCCTGATGCTCTAGATTGGCCCTTTAAACTTCCAGATGTCCTTTGTATGCACAGTAGGATTGATTATTCCAGACCCTGAAACTAGGCTCTTCAACTAGTCTGTACTATTTAAAGAATTAAAATGAAATCTTTTCTCTTAGCTTTTATTTTATTTTTCCCTCTTTGGTCCTATTTTTTCCTCTTATTCCACCCCACCCCCACCCCCGGTTTTGGGGATCAAACCTAGGCCCTTGTGTCTGTTGGCAAACGCTCTAACTGCTAAGCTACAACCCCAGCCCTGCTTAATGCTTGATGAGATTAGAACCGTTGGGAAGAGCTGATTTCACATTCAGAGCAGGAAATGTATGTAGTGTATTGAAGAAGACATTAGCTGTTTCCACAGGAGCCCACTCCTCGGCTCTCACTTGTTGACTAAGCCCTGCTTCGCTGAGCACTTTCTTTTTTTCTGCTCACAACCCGAGTGCCCCATGGAGGTGAAGGACACAGCCTGAGCCTGTGCCATCAGTCAGGAGAACAAATGGGCTTGCTCTGCCTACCATCGGGCCATCTCCGATTCCACCTCTTTTATAGAAATGAGTGATGAAGAGAGGTGCGTCCCGCTTTGCCGCTGTATTAATACACATCAGGGGCCAGCTCCTGGCACTAAATCACACAACTGCATACATCTGTTATCAGCTCTTCACCAGTGTGATGAACAAGACTGCAGATAGAGGCTTCCTTGTGTCATTCTTTATAGGATTTTCCTAAAAGAATAAATAGCTCAGATCTCTGCCAACACTCTCCCCTGTCACTGTGATGAATTCAGCTTCTTTCTTAAGCATGCAGCTACAAATCTCTGCCCTTCCCCCACCCGTAGAAAGTTTTGAGTTGAAATTGACTGAATTTAAAGATCTTAGCAAGGCTAGGGGGTGAAGAAAGGAAGAGATACACACGTCTTCCTTGGTTTATTTGTTTGTTTGCTTTATTAGCACAAAGGGCTGGGGAAAGGACCCTTCCAGCCCTTAAGTAGTGCCTTCTTGAACTATAGCACTGTTATTTTCTTGTTTATGTCTCCATGTCCCTTCCCTCCCTGGCTTTATAGCATGCAGAGGTTTAGCGACAGTATTGCTCCCTGGATCCCAGTGAGTAAGTGTGTAGACCTTTTTCTAAGACTGGTATCCCAGGACAGGAATTTTCCAGAAAGCCTCTACCACATGCTGAAGTGACCTAGCTAGCTGTATTAGGCTCTTAAAGAATGTATTTCTTTTTTTGGCGGGTATGTGACTGTTTTCTTCAAAACTTGAGAATAAGTGGCTATAAGAAATGTAAGGCAGTCCAGGTGGTGATGGCGCACACCTTTAATCCCAGCACTCAGGATCCTGGCAGACAGGCGGATCTCTGTGAGTTCAAGGCCAGCCTGATCTATAAGATCTAGTTCCAGGACAGGCTCCAAAGCTATAGAGAAACTCTGTCTCAAAAAAAAAAAAAAAAAAAAAAAAAAAGGCACTCAGGCTTGTATTGAACCAGTGTGCTTGACGTGATTTTTCTTCATCAGAGCCTTTGACATTCAGACTCCTCCTCCTGAAGGTAAACCCTGGTGTTTAGAATAGGGGATCTGGGGCCACTGAAGATTCCATTCAGAGCCTGGATAGTTTGGGCTATTCCTAAAGCCTTTTTCCAACTTCGCATTCCCCAGGATTACAACCGTCATTCAGAAGCTGTATCACAGATGGTCTCTGAGCACTAAGCCAGCCATGTGTTCAGATGGGTGGGAATTTTAATCTGTTTGTTCACTGCTATCTCCCAACATCTAAAAATTCACCTAACACTAGAGCAGACTCACTTCTTTTTTTATTTTTATTAGCATTTATGAAACTAATGGTTGTCACTATGACACCTCATGTCTGTAGATAATACGCTTTGTTCATCTTCAGTCGCCATCATTTACTTCTCTCCCTCCCACCATTGCCCCTCTTTACCCCTGAGCACTTACTTTTATATATTGTTGTTTCCTTAGTTATTATTGTGACATGTATAAAATACATATAAATATTATAACCAATTGAGTCCATTTAGAGTTGCTCATACGTACAAGTTTTTAGGACTGATCACTTGCTATTGGATAATCACTTAAGGGTCTCATCCCTGGGGGAGACTAATTATCCGTCTCTCAGCAGTCATTAATTTTGTAGTTCTTCATCTAGGGATGGGGCCTTTGGTTTCCATCCATGTTGGTGTGACAGTTGGTGTTGTCATTGTTCAGGTCTTATTTAGGCAGCCATATTGCTGATATTTTATGGGTGTCCTTCTCTTATATAGAAGTTGTAATCTCACAGCAGATGTCCTGGTCTTCTACCTCTTGTGGTCTTCCACCTTCTCATTAGTCTCTAAGTCTTAGATGTAGGAGTCGTGTTGTACATAGTAACCATTACAAGATATCACAACAGTGCAGTAATGGTGCTCATATCTTGGGAATAACCAACAGCTGTCTGACTGGTCTTAAGGCCTGGTCAATAGGAAGAAATTCATGCCTGGTGTTCTCAGCCTAGATAACTACACAACTGGTGAGGTCATAGAACCTAGAAGGAACCTACTGTTGTCACTCTGTTAAACCAGTGCATTCTTAATACTTTTCCTCTACCCACAGATAAGTGTGGCTCTCCGCCATTACCAGTGAAGCTCTTTTTCCAGTTAGTCAAAACTAACAGATCAGAATGTGAGAGAACTGACCATGGGGCGTCTAGCTCCAATGTATCTAAATAAAATTATCTTAAAGTCGTGGCAGTATTCTCCATATTTTTCTAACCCCTTGGAAAATATCTAATTGCTATAAAAGAATATTGATACATAAGGTGTAAAAGAAAACAATGCAGCTAGCACGAAAACTGTTCCCACTGAAGGAGTGGGGACATCTTTCTTCAATGGGGACTCTCTCCAGTGGGAACAGTTTTTGTTCATTTTTGTCTTATTTTGTTTTGATCATCACTTCTGTCTTTGAAGTAGTTTTAACAGACGTATCTCTAAAGGATACACTGTCTGCTTTTTTAAATGCTTCTGAACCTTGCACAAAAGAGTTTATATTTTATAAGATTCACCCAGTTCTGTTTCTGAGGTTGTGTTGTGCAAAATCTCTTTGTTTGGCCGGTGGTGGTGGCGCACGCCTTTAGTCCTAGCACTTGGGAAGCAGAGGCAGGCTGATCGCTGTGAGTTTGAGGCCAGCCTAGTCTACAAGAACTAGTTCCAGGACAGGCTCCAAAACTACAGAGAAACCCTGTCTCGGGGGAAAAAAAATCCTCTTTGTTTGACTGTCACACATGATTTCCCCTTGTATGAGGAGGCCTGTGCCACAGCTCAGTGATCTTGATTGTACTGGATTGTGTTTTATTTTATACCATTGTCAAAAGCACTGCGTTCTGGGAGAAGATGGTGCAGGCATTCTTCTGGGTTACTTCACACTCATTTAATGGTGGTCTCAGAGACCAGACAATACTGGACCTTGGCATAGACATGACTGGAATCCCTGAACTTTTCTGGTAAGATGTAAAATGTACATCTATGGCAGTTTCTCAAGACAGCCATCATAAAAAGGCCATGAGATCTCCCAGCCCTGCACTGCATTATATCACCTAAAATTAAAAAAAAATTAAATTATTATCATTTTATGTGCATAGCTGTTTCACTTTCATGTATGTCTATGCACCATGTGCATGCAGTGCCCACAGGAGCCAGAAGGTCTTGGATAACTCTGGGGGAGGGGGGGCAGGAATAACCCAAGTTCTCTATAAAAACAGCAAGTACCCTTAACTGCTGAGCCATTTCTCCAGCCCCTAAAGCAGAGGTTTTCCTATATTGGTGTGCGCAACAACATTGGTCACAGTAGAACAACCCAGATGTCAATGGCCAGTGAGCAACAAAATATGGTTCTTGCACACATGGAGTGTCACTCAGCTTGAGCCTTTGGCACTCAGAACCTTGCAGTCTCGGATAAAGGCACAGTGAGTGAGCCAGACAGCCACAGAAAGACAAATAGTGGATGATTCCACTTTAATGAGCAACCTGAATAGTAAATTAATGACAAGAGAAGGTAGAGAGGTGGTTACCGAAGCTGGGAGGAGAAGGGGTGAGGAGTTAGTGCTGACAGTGCACAGAGCTTCCACAGCTTCCACTGGAGATGATGAGAGATTTCCACATCACCTCTGAGCTCCATGCTGAACAATGGCCATCATAGAAAACAACAGCAGCCAACAGCTTTCCAAGGATAGACTGTCATTGAGGTTTCTGATTATGTAGTAAGGATAGGGATGGTTCTGTGAAGTCCTTTCAGTTAAACTTGAACAACTGACTACCGCTGTGCAAGTGTGTGCAGATACGTGTTGTGCTGCTGTGGTTGAGATGCCAAAACATTTGAAAGCTACTATTTTTAAGAAATGTATATATAAGCTGAGGTAGGGTCATGTTGTTCAAGCATTTCTAATGTTAACTTCCAGTACAAAGTTGACATTTGAGTTTATTTGAGGATATAAGATAAAATAGGGTAAGTCCTTCCTATTCTTGTGATGTGGCTTTTGTTGTATTTGTTTTTGTGACCCAATCACTATTAGAAAAGTACCAAGGCTATATTATTGGGTAGACCTAGTGGATGTAAAAGAAAAGTCTAGAATCTACTGTATTTTACTCTATCTAAGTATATTTTTACCCCTGGCAGAGTGAATGGTGGTTTGTCCTGATCCACTCAGGGCAGTTGGAAAGGGGAAGTGGGTTGCTATTGGCGTTGGGTAGACAGGGTCCAGAGCACAGCTACCCAGTGCAGACGTCTCGATCAGAACACCACGCCCATGCTGCTCATTCCCTTTTGTTCCCCTTATTGTGTTTACTTCCAACATCATCATGTGGAGGAGCAAATGTAGCCCAGTATTGGAGCTTGAATTGCTATTTTTGATCTCTCTAGTTTAGTTTCCTGATCCATAAAATGGGGATGACAGTGCCTACTTCTAACAGTTGTTAAGAAATTTGGTATTGTACAGGTGTAATAGCACATGCATATAATCCCAGTGCTCAGGGGGCAAGGCAAGAAGACCATGAGTTTGAAGCCAGCTTGGGCTACATTGTAAGACATTATTTTTAAAACTACACATACATAAGGGGTGGGGAGAAGTGAGGTAGGGAGTCCTGAGTATGTGATGTTCAACAGCACGGTGCCTGGCACATGTGTGCTCCATGAGTAAAGTGGTCTAGTGTTTTCCTGTATCTGTTCTACTGAATTTATTTCTGGAGAAATGATTTTGTAAATTCCACTTTTTTTTAAATGAAGAAATTAGTAAACCTTATGAAGCCACTTAGGTGAATAGGGCATGAAATATAAAGATTAAGAAATGTATTTCTATGTCCCTCTTACCCTAATTTCTTACACTAACTCGTCTCTCTTTCCTTCTTCTTTTGTGAAACACAGTGCACCCAGATGTGTTGGAGCTAGCCACCCCAGCCCAGAAGCCTCCCCACTCTGAGTGGTTAGACGGGACCTCTGCAGCAGAGAAAGCTACTGCCTCAGCTCCAGCCATGTTTTTCAAAATGCCACATGAAAAGAGTTCTGGATGCATCTAGAGCCCAGTGGCTGATGGATGTTGAAACTTCGTATTATACAACCTTGGTGTCCTAATTGGCACTCCTGGTCCTTGCACCACCAGGACCCACTCCTCTTCACATGCAGCGGTGGCTCTTTCTTTTAGAAGATCTTATTTGGGGAATCTTTTTCTGTAAAGCAGCGGGGCAGCAGTTTTCCTTGAGGGGGCGGGGCATCTTCTATTGTATCCCTTACTCTGTTGTTAGCCCGCTGCTCACCTTCGCTGCTTTCCTAGAGCTGATGCTCCTGGGCAGCTGTGTCTTTGTTCTAGTAACAGCGCTGGCATCCCTTCTGCATAGAGCTTTTACTATCACCAGTGAAGTCCCAAATTCACAGCCAATTCCAAACACATTCCTCCATGGGATGTGTCTGTGCAGTACGGCTTGCCATCAAGCCTTTATTTACTCTGTGCCAGTAAGATACACCAACCAGGTTCTCAGTTTGGGGCCCCAGAAGAGACACCAGCATGAGGGGTTGGGAACTTCTTCCACTGGGCTTGCATATGAACTGAGGGATCACTGGCGGCTGTGTTGTCCTTGACCTCATCTTCATGGTCTGTGTTCTGCTGGCAGAGGGCACATCTAAGCTCAGAGGTTGGTGTACTAAAATGCAGATGGAGGTTTAGGTGCACAGCAGAATAGTCAGTGGCTGGTGTTTGCTCTAGCATTCTGATCCTGGCTTAATTATATTCTGAGTGGGACTTCACTGTTAGTTATTCTGTAGAATAATGCGCTGTTGTCTGAGAAGGAAAATGTCTTTGGGACATGCCTCTGTGTGGCGTGTTTATGACTGCTCAGCTGCATGTAGAGCTGTATATACGGTTGTGCCTCAAGTCAATGCTACTTTGTCAAAGTGAGGAATATGTGACTGCCTGGAGCTGCTGGGGAAAAGCCACATTTCCCAAAAGTATTCTCAAGAGCACCTGTCATTCAGGGGCCTGCTTGACAGGGTGCTCTTACTTTGTATCAACCGAGTGCTTCTACTCTGAAATACACAGGAGCTGATGTTAAACCCTCACTGCTTTGGTCACATGGAACTGAACACCTCTCCCTTAGACAGGTACCTCGTTTTCCCAAAGTGTAATTGTCCCTCCCACACAGTGTAATTAATGCGAGGTGGACAGGCGGTCAGAGTGTGAGTCTGTATGGAAAGGGGACTCTGAAGCTGGTTTTATAGATTCTGTGGAAGGCTGAGAACGTACCAGCTGGCCATAAGAGAGTGATGAAGGGAAATGCAGATAGAGATCATATAATGGAGGGTAACACCGAAGCCTCCAGTCCCCCAGAATCACCCTGATTCTTCGAAGGAGTGACTGTCCTATGGGGTGTCACAGCTACATCCACAGAAGGTAGGGAATGTGGCACTGTTTGGTGGCTCAGTGATGAAAGTGGGCTGTGTTGTGCGTACTCACCTAGACTTAGTTCCTGCAGTGGCCTGTGGAACACGGTTCTGACATCCTGGCTTGGGCCAAGGGAGAGATCTACTGGTGACACTTAAACCAGTTCCTAAACTTCATGCAGACATCGGTTCTGATGATGGCTTTTGAGACCGCCACGGTTAGGTGCAAAGATATTCCCGTAGCTCTCCTTTATGGTCCATTGCCAGGTCGTCCTCTCCTACCTGGGATTTAAAGTAGTTTATATATACATATTTATTTACACTTTAAATATCTCTCTGAAGCCATGCCAATTTTCAGAGGTAAAGGCAGACTTGCATATTGTATTCCGGCACATGAGTAAGCCCAAACAAGCTATAGACTTAGATGTTATTCTGCCCTGGGTTATATAATCTGTGTTTCTCATTGGTATCCCTGGTCAGTCTGAGACCCATGTCAATAATGTTTTTTCATGATTGTTTCATTTTTCTTGGTCATGAATTTCTATACATTTCTGAATAATTTTGACAGGGATCAGCCAAGATTATAGTATCTACCTGTAACGAATGGGAATAAAGTCATTTACCTGAGAAAATAGAATATTAAGTGCACAAATACTTTTTAATACAGGGTTGTAAATTACGCTCATTTTAAAGTACACATGCTTAGGGAAGCCATTTATTCTGCTATTTCTCTGTCAACCAGCTTCAGAGGCTAACTAGTATCAGCTGTATTTTAAACCTTACATTTAAACATTTTTATGACACGGTGGATAATGCCATAAATTAAGATCTGCTTTTCAAGGAGAGGTGCGGTTTTGTTGTCAGTATTGAAGATCACCAGACAGACCTTAAGGATGCACTGGATATGAGAAGCTAATGAAGCCAAGAGCCATGGTTCTGAGTTGTGTTAAATCCTTACAGACTACACAGATGTTTCTGAATTTCACTGTTGTGTTTTTTCTAACACAGACAAACGTGTTATCTACTTGCATGACGTCCATTCACAAGTTGTTAGCTTTGTGGAGGAATTTGAGGGGATTTGAGATTAATTTTAAGATGCAGCAGTTAAAGGAGGAGCTTCATTTGTATCCAGACCTCTGCACAGCTCTTTGGTCAGAACTGCTGGGAAGAGGAAGTCATTGCTGTTTTCGGGCGCTACATTTACAGGGACAGAATATAGTTTTCCTGAGTGGCATGTGTTTAAGCCTTGAGTTCTCTAGAGATCAGTTGCAGTGAGAGACTTTAGATGGCGTTGGCTCTTAAACAAGACCAGTTCTCAAAGCAGATGACCCAAAGTAAATAAAGTGTCTCAAACTTTGGTCCTTCGAATGAGATTTTTTTTTTAAGTAAAGTTCAGTGTGTATAACGAGTAATTTAACTATCTGTCCTAAAAAGATTTATTAAGGTTTGCATTCGAGGTTGAGAGTCACTGAGCATATCTGTCCATCTATATCTACCTACCTATGTATCTATCTATCATCTCTATCATTCATCTATCTATCTATCATTTATCTATATCTACCTTTCTATCAATCTCTCCAAAATTTCCTTCCATTGTCTAGGAAGTTCTGTGTTACCCTGAATTAACACAAAGCCACTGAGAACTAAGAGTTATAGGTACTAGAAGGAACTGCCAGGCCACCATGATCATAGCTGGTTCTTCAGCTCTGGGTAAAGAAGTATGGGGATGCATGCTCATTTAAGGTCTTGCTCTGTTTTGGCATGATTGCTGTGGTTCTGAGCAATGTGCTTTATTTCTCCCCTTCCTGGGCAGAATCTGTGGATACACCTTAGCAGCAGCTGTCTTCAGTGTCTTAGGAACTTTGTTTGAACTGAGCGCGGAGCGGCTGGCTCTAGCAGACACGACTGCTATCTTGTTGGGGGAAAGTGGAAGCATTTCACTCTTGTCAGCCTCTTCCTTTGCTCAAGCCAGTTTTGCTCGTCACCATGTCCTTATTTCCCTTTGCTGCAGTTAGCAGAGTTACAGCTTCTAGCAATAGTCAGGATGTGATTCTACCCCTTCTTTAGAGAAGCAAAGCCAGGGAGCGGGACTGCAGGTGCTAAACACAGACGGCTTGGTATTCGCTCCTGTGTTAGACTCTGAAGAAGAGGAAGGCCATGCCTGGAAATGGCAATGTGGAAGAAAAAGAACAATAGTGCTGAAGAGTGTAGAGTGTAAGGTTTTTATAAAAGGGGCCTAGCAGTGTAAATTTAGGCAGGATAATATACTTGTGGGTGTGGGGAAATCTCTTGGTAAATTAGCAGGAACTAAAGTTTTCCACTGTGGTCTAAAGATGAAGCTGACACTGGAGATACAAAGGGGCGCCATCCTAGATAGAGGGAAGGAAAGGGGTGCTCTGAGCAGAGCCCCAGACTGGTCCTTAGCCGGGCAGTGAGGACCATGTTGAAGATGCTTACATGGGGAGCAGCGTCTGACCTACTGAGTCAGTGCCTGGGAATGAGGTCCAGCAAAGCCTAACAAACCCTGCAGGGGATCCAGATGCAGCCTGAAGCCTTGGCTGCACAGGTGTTGCCAGTTAAATGGGCTCCTTGGCAAAGACAGATTTGTGTGTGATTCCTTGCCTAAACTCTCAAAAAATGGCTTTGTTCCCATGGGTTTCCCTCACAAACGCCTGGGAAAGGGTGATAGAGACCATGAGTAGAGGATGGAAGTGACTTGACACAGGTGTCCAAGTGTAACAAGAGTGACCGTCACTTTTCAGTTATCAGTATAAGATGGTACTTATATACAGCCACCTGTGAGTTTTATGTGTTCAGAAGTCAGTTTAAGGAAAAGCCTTACACATTTTTCTAGCATAGTGATGTACATTTTAATATATAATTCAGAAAAAATTAAAAGAACCAATACTTCAGCAGGCATATCATAAGCATCTGCTGAGGTTGGTAATCTCAGTACATCAGTCCACCCACATTCTCACGTCTGCTTTACACCCAGCTAATAGGGTGTGAAGGCTGGAAACCTGACAGTAATGCCCCACTGATTTGCGCTGTTTGCGTTACAGCGGCAGCACTTCAGAGTATGATAAGCTCATTTGAAGCTTTCGGGAAAAATGGACATTGTACTTGACGATTTTATTCATAGTAATTAAGATGGGTCCTGACTTACTCCAGAGCCCACAAACCCAAATTCTCCCTTCCAGAGAGATGTGTAATGAAGGAGTTCACTGTATTCGGGAAGGTGTTCTGAAAACTGCCTAGCACTGGTTCCCTAGACTCTGCATGTGTCCCCTTTCCTAGCTTAAAGGTTAATTAAAACCACCTGTTGCACCGGGCGGAGGTGGCGGTGGTGGTGGTGGCTGTGGCGGCCACTGCCTGTAATCCCAATATTTGGGAGGCAGAGGCAGGTGGATCTCTGAGTTTGAGGCCTGCCTAGTCACCAGAACGAGTTCCAGCAGGACAGCCAGGTCTGTTACACAGGGAAGCCCTGCCTTTGAGGGGAGGGGTGTCTTTATGGTGGCTCATGCCTGTGATCCCAGAATTGCAGGGCAGAGGCAGGAAGATTCTAGGTTGAACTACATAGCAGGTTTTGTCTTTTAACAAACAATTGGAAAAGCTTTCTAAGGTTTTAATAATGCAAATATTTTCTTTCTCTGAAAGGTAGTTCTGATCCTTGCAGAATCTTCAGATGTTTATAATTGCAGAATGAAAGAAGATAACTTTTTAAAATTTATTTTTTATTTTATTATGTATACAGTGTTCTGTCTGCATTTATCCCTGCAAGTCAGAAGAGGGAACCATATCTTATTACAGATGGTTATGAACCACCATGTGGTTACTGGGAATTGAACTCAGGACCTCTGGAGGAGCAGCCAGTGCTCTTAACCTCTGAGCCATCTCTCCAGCCCAGAAGATAATTTTGAACTAGCTTCCGGGTAGCTTTTTTAACTAGGAGCTGAAGCCACCCCAGCATCATGGTAACATTTAGTTCCTACTGTCCAGGATCTCAGCCAGTGCCCCTCCTCTTAGCGGTTTTTGCAAAGCACCCATTCTAAATCCTGTTAACCTCAGCCTCTCAGCAACTAATCTTGCCCTCCCACCCATGACTGACTTAGCAGAGCGTCCCCCACCTCTCAACCACACTTCCTCTCAGAACCCGAGTACCTGTGGACCTGTCTTGCCCTCAGTTCTTGTGTTTTGTGCATTGCTCGGGCTAGCTATAAATAGCCTCTTTTATAGACATTTTTGCATTTTTAATATGCTCAGAAACTACCCCCCTTCAAACAAAATACCCCTCCTTCGACTCTGGACCCCCACCCACCACTGAAGTATGACTCCTACTCTGTCTTTAAATTCTGTTTGTTTGGGTTTTTTTTGTTGTTGTTGTTGTTGGAGCGGGGTTTTAGCCCTGTGTGCACATGCAGATCAATTGGGAGTTTTAAAAGTGGTGGTGGTTCAGCAGGTGAACGGCATTTGTCACCAAGCTATGCATAATTGTGTTTACATGTGATTAAAACCAGATGCATTATAGGAGGGGACATATCCAGTAGATGACCTTGTGACCCAATCTATCAGTCAAAGCACTGTTGCCAGGAAGGTGTTTTCTCTGCCATTGTATCTTCTAACTTGTAATTCTATATATAAAAGGTATTGATTTTTTGTATGCTAATTTTATTTCCTGCTACTGACTTGTTCTACTTGTGGGAGTTAATTTTACCATTAATCCACTGGAGTAAAAAGAAAAAGAAAATCTTCCTAAATGCACAGGGGATTGAATGGAAAGCAAAGAGTTTACAGCGGTTAAAATTGTGTGTGCGCGCGCGAGCATACACATGTGCGTGAGAAAGAGACTAAGAGGATTTCTTCCGTGGGAGGCAAATAGACAATGGCATCTTTTGCCCTAAAAGCGTTCACCAAGCCCCAGTGAACTTCTGGCGTGAAGACTGAGGTGAGCCACCGCAGGTCAGGCATGGGATGCACAGGAAGAGGGGTCTCAGCTCCTTCCAAACATGACGTCTGGTAGTGTGGGTAAGTACTAAATAAATCAGTGAACTATTACAAACTAGTTTGCCTTTCTGCATCTTGACCCTGGTGGAAGAAATGTCATTTTTTTTAAGGTTTGTTTGTTTACTTATTTATTTATTATGTGTACAACTTTCTGCCTCCATGTATACCCAAACGCCAGAGGAGGGCGCCAGATCTCATTACAGATGGTTTGGAGCCACCATGTGGTTGCTGGGAATTGAACTCAGGACCTCTGGAAGAGCAGACGGCGCTCTTAACCACTGAGCCATCTTTCCAGCCCGAAATGTCATTTTTTACTATAAATGTCTAGCAAGTTGTGTTTGGCGTAGGTTTCTGTTCAGTGTATACTGCTTGTGTGGTCTTTAACACTTTCAGTGGACCTGGATCTGTGTGTTCAGCTGACTAGCAGAAGCAACCTCAAAACTCTGCACGAGTCCATTTCCGTCCAGGAGTGAAAGTATTCCCACAGGCCAGGTGGTATAGAGACTGAGCCCACAGCTAAAGCCATAAACCAAAGTAGGAAGTGACACGTGCAGCCAAGATAGGAACATAAGTAAGGCGACGCTGTGAACATTCTTAATCAGGAAAACGGAAAGCCTCCCTAGTAATTTACCAGAATTCTGCAATCAGGGGAAATGAAAAGATGGGTTAGTTCTGTGACATTAAACAACACTGATTGTGGTTTCAAATCTGGGACTGTCCTCTTCGTAGAAAGGTCTGTGGTCTACGCCACCTACACACTGTCGATTCTTTGCTGGGAACTAGTTCGTGAGAAGACTGACTTGGAAGAACAGGAAGACAACCAGCCTGAGAAAACTGAAAAGGCACTTGGAAGAGAGACTTATCCTACTCCATACTGACATGAAGTCTAACTCTGAAAGTGTTGTGCAGCACAGGAATAGTCAGTGGGGCAGATAGAGAATTCAGAAATAGGCTCAACTGCTGAAGAAAGTTGAGGACACCGCGAAGCTGTTGCCCCCGGGCATGGGGGTGGGGCGGGGTGGGCCGAGATAAACTAGAAGACTGAATGAATGATGGATGTGGAACAACTGTTTAGAATACCTCAGATGGCTGTACAGGAAAAGGGAGGTTGGACCTGTTCCTCACACTGTATGACAGGATAATGTCCAGATTGACTGAGGGTTTGATTACACAACACTAGCTACACAATTACTAGGGAAAATAACAGGTGATTTCTCTTTAACAGGAATCAGCAGGGTATGGCTGCTGATGGTCTACACTTTGCCCAGTGCGTGTCTCCTCTGCTAGGTGCTGTCATGTTTGGTTTATTTTTCCCCCCACAATTTGGGGATTCAGTAGGAAAGGAAAGGGCACAAGATAGAGATGTTCTGTGGTTGCAAGTCCTAAAATACTAAGAGTTTTCATAAGAAAGTTGGCCCTGCTTGTAACTTGGGAGAAGGTAAGCTTCCTAGGCGCATTGGTCAGCTGCCTGGTTCTAAAGGAGTGGCTGTCTGGTCAGCCCTGCTCTTTGTTCTTTGCTCTCCTTGGACCAGCAGGAAAACATAGACCACCTTTGTAGGAGAGGACTGTAAGTTCATATGGCAAAGGCTGGGGATGCAGGGAGAGTGAGGATTAGAGACACGAATCCTCATGGCCTCTTGAAATTCAGGTGCAGCTGGAAGCCTTTGGCTTCTAAAGCAAACAACTAAACTTTTGAGTGCACTTATGCCATAAGCAAAAATGCAGTAACTGGGATGCACGTTTGTAATTTACATCACTGATTATGGCTAAGCTCAATGTATAAGAAACTTAAAAACAATATATTCCACAGAAAAATTGGGAATAAATTTGAACAGGCTGCTCAGGTTTTTTTGTTTTGTTTTAAGTAAAAATAGCTTTTAAACATTTGAAGAGGTGCTCAGATTTCTGTACAGCCATTCGGTATGCACAGCCACTTAATGAGATAGTGCTCCCCCATCCTTGTTCTAAAAGGCAAGGGAACTGAATCCTGAGGAGGTATTCTGCTGAATACCAGTAGTTAGCAGTGGAGCTAGGATTGCGTCCAGCCAGATGGCTGTAGATAAGAGTAATTCACCATGACTAAGTGATGCTTATTTCAGGAATACAAGGATCATTTAATACAAGGAATAGCTGGGTGTCTCCTTCATATGATAAAATATATTTATCTCAATCTGAAGCCAGCTTCGTGCTTAATTGAGAATACCAGAAGCAATTTCATTAAAGCCAGGAACAAGACAAAGATGTCTACTAATCATCACTATTATTTAAAGTTGTTCCACAGGACGTAGACAAAACAATTAGACAAGAGAAGGAAATTAAAGACAGAAATTAGAAGGGAAGAGAAGATAAAGTTCTAAGTCTCAGATGAAATGATTGGATTGTTTGCCTAGAAGCAAAAGACTAACCAAAGACAAAATGATTTGCAAGATTAATTTTCAGAAAACAATCATCTTTATATACATGGTATCCAATTTCATGCCTTAAAAGAAAATATTTTTACAATAGCAGAAAACAAAAAATAAAATATTAGGAATAAATTTATTTGCGGAAAAAATTTAAATACCAGTGAGAGGCCAAACAAATTCCAATGAAAATAAGAACAAATAAAAAGACTACCATGTCCATGTTCTTTCATAGGAATGATCAGCATCACGAAGCCATGACTTCCTCATGTTTAATCTGTCAATTCAATATGATGTCCAGGGTTGGAGAGACGGCGCAGCACCTAAGAGTGCTTGCCATACTTCCAGAGGATCCAAGTTCAGTTCCCAGCTCCTGAATCATGAAGCTCATAGCTACCTGTAAGTTCAGCTCACAGGGATCCGCTTCTGAACTCTTAGGCATCCACATGCATATGTACCTAACACATAATACAAAATAAGAGTAAAGATGATAGCCAAGAAGCATACTAGTAGGCTTTTTAAAATAAGATTTACATAAGCTAATTTTAAAATTCATGTGGAGCAAGGCTGTGGTGGCTCACACCTTTAATCCCAGCACTCCGGAGGCAAAGGCAGGTAGATCTCTGAGTTTGAGGTCAGCCTGGTTTACAGGGTGAGTTTCAGGACATCTGGGGCTACACAGAGAAACCCTCTCTTGAAAAACAACCCCCCAAAAAAAGTGATGAGCGAGACTCCACTGTACATTAACATTTGCATATGTGCAGCAGTTACAGTGTGGAGATAATTTGTAAATAGAGGCGAATAGAATGGTGTAGAGATAATATCAGCACACGGGAGCTGAGGCTATGCCAGAGGGAGCTTTCAAATCAGTGGGATGGGGACCACTCCATGTGTTCTGGAAAAGTGAGCAGAGGCATTCTTCACTTCTCACACCAGCAATCTGCACGCAGACCTGTGTGAAATACCAGTGGTTACGGGAGTGTTCTTGGGTGTGTGGGGGCCAGAGGAGCCATTCCTCAGTGGCTGTAACACCCGGTTTTGGTGTTACACCCTCGGTACAGTTCGCTCGCAGCTGTACCGAATGCGAGTCCGGGCAAGGGCCTGGAGATTGAACTCACGACACAGGGTCATTCGATAGGAGATCAAGCGAATGCCGTTTATTCAGACTTGGGGAAGCCCTTTTCTACCTAACTGCAGCACAAAGATCTCACCACCCGGGGAGGTGGGAAATAAACACACAGGAAGCTTAGTTAACAATGTAGAAGATTGCTTGTAGCTAAATCACCAGGTGGGGCAGGGATAGTACGGAAACACACAGGAAGCTTAGTTAACAAATAACAAACTGTCCCCGCCAATGCACCCCAGGAATAAGGGAGACCAGGGCCCTACAAGTGGCCATTCGCAATGTTTTCTGAGGCAGCTTCTGATTAGCCTGGGGATTTTTGCGTGGGTCCCCAGAGTTAAACTGAGGTTCTCGTGCTTGTGCAGTAAGCACTTACCAACTTAGCTAAAAATTGTCAAGTGGGAAGGCCTTTCTAAGCATGAGCCAAGAAGCTAGAAAAGTTTACTAGATTTGATTTTTATACATATAAACAGTTTCTTGAACTGGAGACCTCAGCAGTTAAGAACACTTGTTCTTCCAGAGGACCTGGGTTCAATTCCCAAGCACCCACATGGCAGGTTACAATAGTCTGCAGCTCCAGTCCCAGGGGATCCAACATCCTCTTTTAGTCTCCTCTTCTGGGCTCCAGGCATGCACAGAGTGTACAAACACATGTGTAGGCAAAATACCTATACACATAATAAAATATAAAGCAGCATAGTCTAGATTAGCTGCCATTTTCTGTCCTTTGGTTGTTGATAGTGGGCTTCAGTATATTTTAAGTGTATGTTCAATTCAATGTCATAATTACAGTCATTTGAATTCTCTCCATGGGGGGTGGTGATGACTTGAGTCCTCAAGGAATAACTGTTCACTAAGAACATTTCCAAATAAAACTGAATGAGATCACACAGGTAGAGATACATAGACCATCACACAGCACACAGGAAACACACAAAAACAAGGCAAGATGATGCCTTCAAAAGACACTGACTTCTTAATTACCAAATCTTAAAAATACTGAAATCATTGGGCAAATAACTCAAGTCTGCTTGTAAAGATAATGAGTGACTTCAGAGAGGAAATGAAGTAGGTCAGTGAAGTAAGGAGAGAGAACATGGATGAGAACTGAACAAGGAAGTTTAGA